AAAAAAGCTGAAAATAAGTAAAAAATATTTTTTGAGAATAAATGGTTCAAGGAATATATGTATACATATATATATATATATATATATATATATATATATATATATATATATATATATATATATATATAATAAATTAATTAATAATAATAGTTTATTTTTTATTTTCTTGAGAAAAATTTATAGCACAGAACTTTTTGTATTTATTTAAAATGTTACTGTTACATTTGGAAACATTTTATAGCAATACAGTTATTGTTGTTCTTGATAGTCTGCAAAAGAATGCAGTGCCCAAAAAAAGAAAATTGGCTCAGAAATGCCAAAGAGTCAAGTTTGGAATTTCTGTCTGAGATTTTTAGAAAGACTAAAATTAATTACAAGACTGGAAGCATCTGGGATTCAGATGTTTCTTGTGAAAGCGTAAATGAATGTGTGTATATTTATGTTTTCTGAATTTAATAGATATGTGCATTATATATATATATATATATATATATATATATATTGTTGAAAATCTTTTGGTAAGACCTACTTTTCAAAATATGACAAAACATCAGATTATTGGTCAAACTAAGAACATTTCAGCACACTTTGTGAATATATATATATATATGTATATATATATATATATATATATATATATATATATATTTTTATTATAAGAGTTTATAATAAAATCATTTTTAAATTGCTACACAGATTTCATGTTTCCATACTATGATTGTATCTCCTCAGGTGATGGTAGGAAATGATTTTTTAAGGGAATTTTAAAACAAATTGTTATCTCTTTTCCTAAAGTTAAAAGTGGAACATTTAATTGGTAAATCAAGACATAGCCATAAGTCTATATTTTTAATTTCAGACCTTATGCCCCCACCTTTAACTTTAAGAAAAAAAGGTAACAATTTATTTTTAAATATCCCTAAAAAAAAAATCATTTTATAACCAGTGCCGTACCATCCCTGAGAAAGTACTATCATAGTATGGAAACATGGAAGCTTTTGTGTAGTGATTTAAAAATGTTTTTATTATAATCTTTTATGATAAAAATGTAATAATAATATTTTGTTCTACTTTGCATTGAGCACTTTTTTAAAAGTAAATACTATGAACTGTGGATTTTTGTTTTTCTCTTTATTTGGAGGTATATATATATATATATATATATATGTGTGTGTGTGTGTGTGTGTGTGGTACATTTAGGCAGCAAGTATTCATCCAAACAAGTTTGATTAGAAAGAATCAACAAGATATGTCAGTTTAATTTTTTTATTATATTTTCCAATTTTTGGATACAATGTTGAGTACTGTGATCAGTAAACTATCACAGTCATTATCAAGAACGAATATGGTGTCTGAATTTTAACGACTACACAGACATCAAAAACATTTTCCAGCATTTATACAGTTTCAGTCATAAATAATGATGATGTTTTCTTTGTTGCACAAACTAACAAGGCTGAAAAAGGTTTTCTTAAAAGATGATTGATTGATTGATTTGGTTTTGATAGCTTGTCAACCCATTGTGTGTTATTTGAAGCACAATATATTTTTGATTGTAAGAATAATTCGTGTGTGTATATATATATATATATAGTACAGGTAATAAATCTGTTGGTATATAACTCAAGTTAATCCTAATAATATAAAATATAAAAAACTGATACACAAAAAGAGTTCAGTATATTTATTATAACAGAGCACATAAATAGTATTATACAACAAAATCCAAAAATTACCTAATATGGTGGTTTGGTTAATAGATCTATTTCAACCAATGAAAACTACGTCAGTCTTATTCAACCTTAGTGTACAGACTGAGTTTTTGTTGGAATTTTTGGCGGCTGTCAAAGTTAAATTTCTAATTCTAACACAAACTCAGTATATACACTGGGGTTGAATAAGACAGACATAGTTTTCATTAGTTGAAATAGATCTATCTGCCCCCATATGAAGTAATTTGGGATTTTGTTGTAATATATATATATATATATATATATATATATATATATATATATATATGTGTGTGTGTGTGTACGTATGAGGTTTATTTTTGCAGCAAGTGTATTTATCCAAACAAGTTTGATTAGAAAGAATCAATAACATCTGTCAGTTCAATTTTTTATTATATTCTTGCACTGTAGTTGAAGCTGTGTACAAACTGTCCAAAGTTCATATTTTGTTATTTCTGTTCAAGTATTTTCGACTATAGCAGTCATTATCAAGAACCAAGGTGGTGTCTGAATTCTAATTACCATGCAGACACCTCACCACAAACATTTTTCCAGCATCTTTAACACTGCAATTCTACAAAGAAAACAAATGCAAATTGGCACAAATTGACAAGTCCAAAGAAGGCTGTGTTAAAAGATGACCGATTGATCTGCTCCTTATGGTTTGTCAACCCATTGTGTGTTATTTGAAGCCAAAGCATAATTTAGATTGTAAGAATAATTCTTATTTTTTTAATGACTATTACATTAACAGTTTCTTTGGGCAGAGATAACAATGATTTTTTCAGATACGAGTCCTACTATTTAACCCATAGCTGGAGGAAGAAGAGATGGATTCATATATTCACCCATGGCTATTTGAAAGTAAATAAATGTAAAGAACTCACCTACAATTCAAACTCTGCTATTTTATTTCTCATTCCAAGCAACTATGCATTAATACAGACACACATCCACTGTCAAAAGCTGAAAAACAAGTTACTTACACAGTTACCTATCAGAGTACAACACTATAAATTTTAAACAGATTGGTTTGTTTTTTTACAGGTTAACAACTTTTGGCAGGTTATTTAAAGCTAGAAAATATCTTTAGATTTTAAGAACTTTTTGGAGATAATAATGACTTAATGATACAAGTTTTACTATTTAACCCATAGCTGGGGAGAGAAGACTTGGATTCATACCTTTCTTAATGGTATTTGCATGTAACCTGGGAAATGAAACTAGAACTGAAATTCAGCTGTCTAATTTACAATTCAGAGCCATTATTCATTATACCATCTGTATATCCAAATTTAAAGCACCTGATGTTCCATTTGCAATCACCCATCCGGGTACTTATTAGGATTGAAGTTGCTTAATTTTTTGGGCTGTTAAAATAAATCATGCTAACTGGTCTTTTAATGAAAACAAAATTTTAATTACTCTGCCCTTTGAAATGTTGCCCAATCTGTTTGTTACTTGTAGCCCCATCAGACAACTCTGGGTACTTGCCAGAAGGCAACCCATAAAAATGTTGATATTCCAGAAAATGCTTGAGAAATGTTGAATTTATTCATGCCCAAGCATTACGGACGGCAGTCTTAATCTCCTTGGTTACATTTCTTCTGAAATTTATAATCAATTTTTACAGTTGTCTGCAGAAACAAAAAAAAAAGAAAGAAAATGATTTTTGAAGCCATTTATTAGAAGAAATGATGCCTTCACCTTGGAAACAGCAAAAATGGGTTCCTTTTATTTTTTAAAACTTTTATTACCTTCCTTTTGTTTTGACAGCATACCATGAACTGTGAAATTAAGATTCTTCGTCTATTTCCTCAAAGGAATTGTAGCGCTGAAGATGCAGAGGTGTAACAGAAATAATAATTGAAAGAAATGAAAAAAATAAATATTAAAGAATGCTGGTAATGAGGACAGAAGAATAGATTTGATAATCATAATTGTTAAAGTGTTAATTATCATAATATGGGAAGGTAAGGGTTAATGGTATACAGTGAAACTGGTGAGCCAAGTTCAAATTCCAACCATGTTTGTTCTGCTCACTTTTGGCTATAAAATGACTGCCAAAGTGTGAAACCCAGGGTCACAAACACATATCCATACAACTTATATTGTTTTAAAGTGTGCTATGTAATGCAATAATATATATATATATATATATATATATATATATAAAACTATTTATTCAAAAATTATAACATAAATATTGTATTGAGCACTCTTTTAAGAATAGTATTTTTTGGTTATTGGAATTTTTTTCCATATACACTAATCCTATACATGGATATATATATATATATATATATACACACATATATGCACTAATAATAAATATACATTTTGTTCCATTGCACTACCTCTGAATTTACATTTTGCCACTGTTTTATTACCATACACTCTGAATTTCTTATATATATATATATATATATATATATATATACACACATGTGTGTGTGTGTGTATAATGTATATATATATATATATATATATATATATATATTTTTTTTCCTCGAATGGTAACAAATACCCTAGCAACAATTTTGCTTTCACTCCATCTTCTTTATTTTCCATTAAAGATGCCTTGACTAACTCTTTTTCTTTCTTTTTTTTCTCTCATCTCTGCAATTATTTACATTTCTTGTTTGCGCACATTCGAATTCTGTGTCATTTAGTCAGTAAAGAAAATTCAGAATGATTACTTTTGGCCCAGTAAGGTTCAGCCATATATTATCTCAATTCAAAATAGCTTCTCAAACATATACATTTAAATTTTTCAATTTCTTTCTTTTCTCATTTTTTTTCCCCCTACGAAACTGTTTTGTTTATTGTCATTGTGTTATAGATTTGCTTTGAGTACCCCATTAATCATATGACGTCCTTGTTTGTGCTGATCTGATTTTATCAAAATTGATCTATAACATAAATATACGACTGGGATCAAGGTTTACATTAATCTATCATTTCGAAGATTGAGACTTATTTTGATGGGTGGGATCTGGTAAGGTATTGTGGCTCGAGCTATACTCTTCTTTCTTTCTTTCTTGTTTATTTTTTACTTCCTTTCTTTTTTTTTTACAATCACTGCAACTTTCTCTTCATTTTTTTTATTTCTTCCTTTTGCCAATATGTTCCTGTTTCTTCTACTGTTTTTATTTTTTTTTATTTTTTTTATTTTTTATTTTCAACTGTTTCTCACAGCATTTTTTTTTCTTGGTGGATAAATATCATTATTACACTATTACTGGACATCTTTTTTTTTTTTTTTCAAAGATGTTATCCTTATTATGACTATTATTCAATTTCACTTTTTTCTTATTTGTTTCCATATTACTCCCCATCACTTTCTCTTTTTGTTTTTGTTTTGTTAAATTTGTTTTTATTTTTATCTTATCATTATTATTACTTCCATCTTTATCCTCATCTTCTTTATTTTCTACTTCTCCATTCTATTCACCATCATCTTCTTCTTCCCATTATTATTATTATTCACCTCTGCCTTTTCCTTCTTCTTTATCCTCATCTTCATTTTCTACTTCTCCATCCTATTCACCATCACCTTCATATTCCCATTATTATTATTATTATTATTATTATTCCCCTCTGCCTTTTCCTTCTTCTTTATCCTCATCTTCTTCATTTTCTACTTCTCCATCCTATTCACCATCACCTTCGTATTCCCATTATTATTATTATTATTATTATTATTATTCACCTCTGCCTTTTCCTTCTTCTTTATCCTCATCTTCTTCATTTTCTACTTCTCCATCCTATTCACCCTCATCTTCTTCTTCTTTATTATTATTATTATTATTCCCCTCTGCCTTTTTCCTTCTTCTTTATCCTCATCTTCTTCATTTTCTACTTCTCCATCCTATTCACCATCACCTTCGTATTCCCATTATTATTATTATTATTATTATTATTATTCACCTCTGCCTTTTCCTTCTTCTTTATCCTCATCTTCTTCATTTTCTACTTCTCCATCCTATTCACCCTCATCTTCTTCTTCCCATTATTATTATTATTATTATTCCCCTCTGCCTTTTCCTTCTTCTTTATCCTCATCTTCTTCATTTTCTACTTCTCCATCCTATTCATCATCATCTTCTTCTTCCCATTATTATTATTATTATTATTATTATTCCCCTCTTCCTTTTCCTTCTTCTTTATCCTCACCTTCTTCATTTTCTACTTCTCCATCCTATTCACCATCATCTTCTTCTTCCCATTATTATTATTATTATTATTATTATTATTCCCCCCCTGCCTTTTCCTTCTTCTTTATCCTCACCTTCTTCATTTTCTACTTCTCCATCCTATTCACCATCATCTTCTTCTTCCCATTATTATTATTATTATTATTATTATTATTATTGCCTTATTCCCATTTTCTACTGCCTTTTCTTCTTCCATTATTATTATTATTATTCCCCTTTCTTTTCCTTTTTTTATCCTCACCTTCTTCATTTTCTTCTCCATCCTATTCACCATCATCTTCTTCTTCCCATTATTATTATTATTATTATTATTATTATTATTATTATTCCCTCTTCCTTTTCCTTCTTCTTTATCCTCACCTTCTTCATTTTCTACTTCTCCATCCTATTCACCATCATCTTCTTCTTCCCATTATTATTATTATTATTATTATTATTATTATTATTATTATTATTATTCCCCTCTTCCTTTTCCTTCTTTTTATCCTCACCTTCTTCATTTTCTACTTCTCCATCCTATTCACCATCATCTTCTTCTTCCCATTATTATTATTATTATTATTATTATTATTATTCCCCTCTGTCTTTTCCTTCTTCCTTATCCTCATCATCTTCATTTTCTACTTCTTCATCTTATTCACCATCATTTTCACATTATGATAAATCAATGCTTATTTCTAAACATTATCAATATTATCATTGTTCCTTATATGCTTATCTTGCATGCATACAAAATTTATAACTTGCATATAACTCCTGTAGTTCAGTTGTTAATGTCAAGAGTCATTTGTAAAGAAAGGTAAAAAAAAAAGATCATCAATAAAACAAAAAATGTAGAACCAATTGAAGGCTAATTTTATATTTTGTTTCAAATTTTCATAGTGAACACCTATTTGTTGGTCAGTTAATTGCATATGATTCTCAAATGTTGTGTCTCATGAGTTTAATTGTTTATAGTCTTCTAAATTCTGTTGTTACTATGTATCCCTCTCTCAATTCCTGTACACTCCAACAGTGGGGTGTGGCACCACAGCCTCAACTTGCTAGGCATTTTTGCTACTATGCTTCCCAAAACAAATGTTCTTCATAGAATAAAATTGCTGTTGTACAGATGATAATGGGTATTCCCATAAATACAGTAGTAAATACTGTATATTGGTCTGCAGTTGGAGATTCGTCTCCAGCTGTGCTGGTCAAACTCTCCGTCTCCAGGCAGAGAGGATCCCCAGATGTGGTTATGTCAAAGGGCAGAGTCTTGTCTTGAGGAAACAGCTACCCGACCCTGTATTATAAGGAGTCTATAGGGAATTTTTGTCAGAGCTTATGGGCTTGGATACCCCACATTAAATTCAGCCTTGTACCACATCTAACCATGTGGAGTGGCTGGAAGATATCCTGCAGTTGGAGATTCATTGTAGAATTTACTTGACTCACTTCTAGTAGTTGCCTACTACTTCTATATGTCGCTGGCGAATCTTATATGTGTTGTTCTTGTCCTAAGTATTATCGTTCATTACCAACCTTCATTTGATTATTCTATTCAGTAACCTTCCCTAGGTTATGATTTCTTTGCTTTGTCTAGCAGTTGACTACTTCTTCTACATGCTGCTGGTTAATCTTATATGTGTTGTTTTTGTCCTAAGTATTATTGTTCATTACCAACCTTTGTGTGATTATTCTATTCAGTAACCTTCCATAGATTACAACAATTGCTAACCCCATGGCCAACTGGTTTTGAATTTAATGTTGACCGTCTCCTAAACTGGTTACCATCAACAGCTAAAGTGTTCAGTTTGCATTACTATTTATCCTATAGCTGGAAGAAAAAGAGGTATCCATACATTTCCCAAGGGACTTTGCTGGAATTCAAACTTGGTGCATCAATTTCTCCTTCTGAGCTGCAAGCCATTACCCCATCCACACACCCATTCTTACCAAGAATAGAGCGAGAACATTTTCATTTTTTTTATGCTCTGGTTAAAAAATAAAATAAAATAAAGAAACCGGGAAACAGTAATCCTCACCTAAGTATAAAGATTTTATCAGCTGTTATCATTCCAGGTTTTGTTGATGCTGTTGAACACTAGGATTTAAAATTGTTTTCATTAAATTTGTCGTGGATTAATTTAAATTTTCAGTTGATTTTGAGGAGATTTTATTTCTCCTTTCACTTTCATTAATGTACTTATATTTTTTATTTATTTACTTATCTATTCATTTATTTGTTACGGATTTCTTGACTTCCATATTCCATAATAAAATCCATGGGGACGTTCTCAATAATTGCTTTTGAAAATAAAATTTTGATTAAAAAATTATTTTATTTTATTTTATTTTTTTTTGAAAGACAAATTGTGATTTAGATGAAAAGGAGGAGGGGAAATGGGAAAAGAGGAAAAAGATGAGAGAGAGGAAGAAGATGAAAGAGACAGGAGGAGGAGCAGTGGTGGAGAGAGGAAGAAGATGAGAGAGAGGAGGACATAGAGAAAGAAAATGCAAAAGAGAGGAATGGGGAGAAAAGAAGAATATAAAAATGACATAGAGGAGGAGAGAAGGATGAAAAGAGGAACAAGAAAGGGACAGGAGAAAGAGCAGTAGGGAGAGAGGAAGAAGATGAAAGAGAAGAGGATATAGAGGACGAAAATGAGAGAGAAAGAAATGGGGAGACAAAAAGAATATAAACATGACAGAGTAGGAGATAAGGATGAGGAGAGGAAGAGAAGGAAGTGGATGAAAGATAAAAGAGGAAGAAGAATGGGGCAATTCAAGAAGAAAGAAACAGAGGTGGAGGAGGAATGTGGGGAGAGGAAGAAGATGAAGGATACAGAGAGGGGGAGAATATGGGGTATTGAGGAGAGTAGGAAAAAGATGAAAGAGAAAGGAACATTGCTAAACAGTTGAAAGAAAATGAGACTGAAGATGAAAGGAGGGAAAAGGAATAGGAGATAGAAAGGAGGGAAAAGGAATAGGAGATAGAAAGGAAGAATGGGAGAGAGAAAGAGATAAAGCTTAAAATGGAGGAGGAAAGAGGAGGAGGAGGCAGGAGATAAATGAGATGGTGAGTGGAGAGGAGGAAAGAAGTAAATAAGGAGTGTAGGAAGAAGAACAAAGGGAAAGAAAAAAATGAGAAGAGGAGAGCAAAAGAAAGAAGGAATTAAATGGGGGAGAAGAAGAAGCCAGAAGAATAATGAATGAGATGGAAATTGAGAGAGTGGGAGAATATTGACAAAAATAAGTCAGGAGTAGGAGGACAGAGGAGAGGGTAGAGCAGAATTAAAGTAAAATGGGAGAAAGGAGCAAGAGTAGAAAGGGAGAGAGAGGAAGGGGAGAATAGATGAAGAAGCAAGAGTAAAAGGAAGAGAAAGGTGAGGGTACAGGAAGAGGAGAAGATTTAATCAGAGGAGGAATATATTCAAATAAAAATCTCTAAAAACCTCAATAATACATTAAAATAAATATACAAATTTTTTTTTTTTTCAGTTTCGTAACTGGGGTTAGGTTGAGATGTGAACAAGCTATGTGATGAGGATAAGAATTTAACTTCTTTTTATAAAAAATATCAAAAGGTTTTTACTCTTTTGTCAACATTGACTAGATATGAATTAACTAATTTTATTTTTGATTCATTAAATAGAAATATATTAATTAATATTTAAAAAGTACAGAAGTATACTCCATGTATTCTTTCCCTTTTAAATTTTTTTATTTTGATATGAACAGTTGTTTACATTATTTGGACTAGGGTTCTAATCTTTGTCGTCATATTTATTACAAAGTTTCGGCCATTGTACGCTCCGGCCTTCTTCAGGTGGTTGGAATGTTGAACTGAACCATTTATTTTGCTCACTGTTCTAGTTCCACGTGTCATGTTTAATGGATGTCAGTTATCAGTTATCTCCTGCTAATTCCCCTCTCCAAGTTCTCCACTGCCTTAACCGAGTATTGAACTCACACTCTTAGGGTCATGTCACTGGATCTAACCAAAACTTTTATCCACTGTGCTATGTGTCCTTGAGAACAGTCTACCCCAGTGAGCGAAATAAAGGGTTCAGTTCAACATTCCAACCACCTGAAGAAGGCCGGAGTGTACAACTGCTGAAACATTGTAATAAATATGATGACAAAGATGAGGACCCTAGTCTGAATAATGTAAATTAAGTCCGACTTGATTATCCATAACAGGCCCCTAGTGGATGGTGAAGCCAATAGAGGATGATGGACTCTCCTGTCATCTTCAATGTATAAGGGTCTGGCAAAACTATCCATTCTTTTTGGAAGAACCAAATACAAAGCACTGGTTCACATAGCATGCAATCAGGTACCCAAATAACCTTCCTCAGGTTCTGAATTCAAAGTTATGTTTCACTTTGACTGGTTGCCAATGAAGGCTAAAGACCCCAGTCTGTCTTACTATTTAACCCATAGCTTAAGGTAGAAGAGGTGGATTCATACATTTCCAAATGGTATTTACATGTAAGTGAAATTGTCCTCAGGCCCGTGATAATCAGAGAGGTCACAACAATACTGTTAAGATTCCATTATTTTGAAACAGAACTATTTTAATTGATGATGAGGACACACATCTGGATAAACGTATTACAAGTCTTTATTTTCCAGAAGTAGTTAACAACTTTAAACCCACCAGCGCCATGACTTATCAAACACTAGCAATAGACGAGTTCATTTCTTGATGCAACCCATTCATTTCACTACACAACTGGAAATAGACAAATCCATTTCATGACACACCATTGTACATTTTCAAGAGGACAATTTCAAAGTGAGATGGTGAACAATGTTGTATAATATATAAATTACATTATTTATTTGGTGTACTATTTTTTATAGGTCGAGTTGAGAGGGGGGGGACTTTCTGATATTATTTCGTCATTATCATCTCTGTATCTCATCTCGCTTTTAATTATGTCTATTTCTTTTCTGTCTGTCTCTTCTCCCTCCTTTTTTTTTTTTTTTACTTCAGTACTTTCTTCATTCTTCTTTTAATATCACTTTCTCTCTCTCTCTCTCTCTCTGCTGAGAAAAAAAGACCGGAAAAAAAAAAAAAACAATCAGCTGCTCCTCAAATGTCTTAAACTTTGTGATAAATCAAAGAATGTCAAGATACCTGTCAAAGACCTCAGGAGAATCTATCAGTCAGGTGATTGATAGCCATAAATTTTTGTTCTAACTTCCAGCACTTACTGCCACCTTCTTCTTGAAGTACTGCCAATATGAAGTCAGCAAATTCTTTTTACTCTCAGAAAATTACAAGCAAAGAATCTGTTTTTTTTTTTCCTTTATCTTTGCTTTAATTTCCTTGTTTCCTGAGTTTGCTGATTAACGAGATATCTTGTTATTATTTTTATTTTTTCTGTCAAAAGGTATCAGGCATCTTATTTCATTTGAAACGCATTCTACAGAAGGAATTGCAAATTGATCCAATTAAGGTGATATCTCGTTTTTATTTAGTTTTTCTGCTGAATTGTCAGGCATCTTATTTCGATTGAATTGCATTCTACAAAAGTAATTGCAAATTGATCCAATTAAGGTGATATCTCGTTTTTATCTATTTTTTGTTTTGAATGATCAGGCATCTTCCTTTGGTTGAATAGTATCCTGCAGAAGGCATTGCTAATTGATACAGTTAAGATGATATCTCGTTTTTATCTATTTTTTGTTTTGAATGATCAGGCATCTTCCTTTGGTTGAATAGTATCCTGCAGAAGGCATTGCTAATTGATACAGTTAAGATGATATCTCGTTTTTATCTATTTTTTGTTTTGAACGATCAGGCATCTTCCTTTGGTTGAATAGTATCCTGCAGAAGGCATTGCTAATTGATACAGTTAAGATGATATCTCGTTTTTATCTATTTTTTGTTTTGAATGATTAGGCATCTTCCTTTGGTTGAATTGTATTCTACAGAAGGCATTGCTAATTGATCCAATCTTGTTTTAATTTTTTCTATGTCAAGAAAAATAAAAGTAATCTGACATTTTAATTTTCTTGCTTCTAATATGTCTAATCAGGATTTGTATACAGAATCTTTTTTTCTGCTTATCTGCATATCTGTGGGAATTATACATGTGTGTGCAGGCATATAGATTTGTGTGATGTTTATATATTTAGGTACCTCCAAAAAAATTGCAAAAATATCAATGTCCCATGATGAAAACATGCTCCAAACGTAATGAAAACGTAGTTTTATCCTCAAAATCTTTGATATTATTAAGAGGAAGGATCAGAGTATTTTTTTCAATATTTAATCAAATTTTTTACTTCTGTTTAGAACGTTCAAAATTTTGATAAAAAGATTCGTTTTTCTTGCATCAGCAGCTGCACTAAATTTTAACAAAGTAAATTTTAGCCTCTTTTTTTGTGGTGATGGACACATTAATTTGGAAATTCTTGCAAAAATCAAATAATTGTTGGATTTTAATGAAATTTTCAGAACTAATTCACAAATGAATGAAATTATTTTTGAAATGTTTTATTAGATAATCTTCCTCTTAATTTTATGAAAATATGAGAAATTCATCATGATTATTTTTAGTGACCATATTAGTTAAAAGCAGAATTCTTTCGAAGAATTTAGATAACTGAATTTGTTTTAGCAAAATTAGACCCTGTCTTACTGAAAATCTGTTCCGAATTGAAAAATGCAATAAAACTAAAACAATATTTAATTAGAGAAGCTTTTAATTGCTTTTATGAATAATATATATTAAAGACAATATTGTCTGAATAAAAAAAATTTAATGAAAATGAATTTTTACAAGATTTATTTTCATTTTTTTTCACAATTTTAAATTGAATAATTTGTAAAGTTTTAAATCTTTTAAAGTTCAGTTTCTATGGGGTAACTTTTAGGAAATATTGTTATTAAGTAAAACTCTATTTGCTAATTATATATTGTAAAGCTTATTACAATGTGACATCTAATATCGTTTAAAAGAACTTGATTTTTTTTTGTGTTTAAATGCCCTATTTTTTCTATATAGACTAGTTCATACATGACGTTATCATTGAAAGGTCATATGTTTTAAGGGTTGTCCCCTCTTACAGAAAAAAAAAAAAACTCATATAAAATTTATCATTTGCTTGCAATTCTACAACACCATACTTAACTTGTCAAATGTTAGGCTGTCGATAAATCAATCAATACATCACATCAGAAAAACAACACCCCGTGGTTAAGAGATGCTTGTATACAATATTTTATGCTATCAATATGTATTATTTGTTTCAAATCTGATTAATTTAACTTTAAGTTTGGTAAGTTTTCTCAAATAATGCTTCAGAAATATATATTTTATTTTGAAAAATTTTTAAAGCTGAGAATTAACTTTTGTTTACAAATGTGTCAAAATAGCTGATTTTATCAAAAAAAAAAAAAAATCATTTCCAATCAGTATAATTTTTGTTTGAAATACACCACAGAGTATTTTGCTTACTAGAAATAGTAAATTTTAAATCCTTAATCTTTCAATTAAAGCTAAAATAAAAGCTTTTTCATTTTTAAAAATTCATTTTAAACCTTATGTATGCCAAATTAGTGGAGACTGAATTGGCATCAATCAGAGATTCTACCACTAAGCTGTTGGTGCATGGCAGGGATGAAGGTGAATTTTAGCGTATGTTTTTTTTAGATAAACACACAGTGACTGAGAGGACTTGATTCGCTTTACCGAAGAGTCTTGCTAAAAACACACACATATATATGTGTGTGTGTGTATTTTCTAAACAAGTAATGGATTTTTATTTATTAATGGTACAGATTTTATCACTATAAACATAGGTGTATGTGTATTTATTAATATATACTTCATAGCTCTTTTTAACTACATGGAGCACCATTTTGTTTATACATTAAATAAATATTTATTTGCTAATCTGTATATGTGCATTATCACACACACACACACACACACATATAATTAATTAATATCTTGTTATTTAGTTTATATTTACTTACATACATATATATATATACATACATATATATATATATATATATATATATATATATATATATATATATATATGTGATAAATAAAAATAAATAAAATTGAGGACAATTTGAAAAATCAAATATATATATAAATAAATAAATAGTTTCATAAAATAAAAACATTATTATTTTTTAATTTGAAACTTTTTATATATATATATATATATATATATATATATATATATATATATATATACATATATGTATTGTTATGGTGTTTGTGAGAGAGCAAGAGAGACAATACAGGTATGCTTGTGATATTCTGAAATTTGATTTAATTATTAAACCTGGCCTGATATTGTAGTCTGTATAGGAAATATAATAACATCTATTCTGATCCATTACATCACCCATACATCTGATGCATGCATCACCTGGTATTCCCAAATGCTTATCTATCTTGATGTTACCTAAGTTTGCTGAATATGCAGGTGTTTCAACATGATGTAGTCATAAGCCTTATTTAACAAAAGTTTTCTTTCTTCAAATATTTCTTAATAAAAATATAAGGTGTGGTGGAGGATTAAATTGTGGTTTGGTGGAAACTATTAAGAGTTTCTTGGTTTGTTGTGCTTTTTAACTTTGATCAGAATCAGCAATAGAACAGACCAGCAATATTTTACCAT